CTGTCACCTGCAACAAGCAGCGCATTCACATTAAACCAGAAGTGCTGTTGCAGCGGCAGGGTCTGAAACCTCTGCAGAGCAGGGGGAGCAACTGTGAGGAAAAAAACGGGGGGGAAACCAAGTGGAAAGGAGGGGAGCTCGCGCAGCTCCTGTGTTTGAGCACGGGATGGGTGCTGGGGCGGACAAACAAGTGGGAACAGACATGTTGACAGACGGGACTGAGGGGTTGTTGAATAAATGTGGACAGAAGTGCTTTGAAACTGATGGAGGAGGAATGTCGGGCAAAGGTGGGGGAAGTGGATTCTTCCCCTGTGGAACCGGATCGGTGTGTGTGTGCTGTGGGGAGTTTTGAACGTTGGAAGTGAGACTGCCCTGCGGGGTAGGGAGCGCCATGGGGTGGCTCCGGTGGCTGAATTGGAACTAGGCTGACAAGGGACCTGGGGAATCTACCCTAGCAGATCCACTGGTTACATTAAATCTATGGACTAGAGGAAATAAAGTGGAATTTAGGTGGCTACAGGAGCAACTTATTCGGCGTTAAATCAGAGGGAAAAGAATTTGTTACAGATGGGGGAGCTACTGGCCACCAAGGAAAAAAAAAAAGTGCAAAACGATGCAACCCTTAAGGTACAAATTGGGATAACAAATAGGAATGCATAAAATTTTTTATGCATGCTGAATTCTCCGAAATCTTCATTAGGGCAAGAAGCAACATTTAAAGAAGGCAAAATGGAATTAAGAGTTAAAAATCAATTAATTGCAGTTTTGAGTATATCTTTAATTCAACAGAGAAAGCAAACAGGAGGACCTCCCTGAAATAGAAGAAATCCTTAACCAGGTGTATGTGGGAGTATGGGCATCTGAAGTTCCAGGTAAGGCGAAAAATGCTTTGCCTGTTAAAGTAGAAATAAAAAGGGGGACCTGCCCAATTAGAATAAAATAATATCCAACACAACCCACATTTATTTATTAATTGAATGTGAATTGGAATATAATACTCCTATCTTGCCAGTAAAGAAATAAAGTTGCAGATTGGTTCAAGATATCAGGAATCAACAAATTTATAGAGGATATTTATCCAGTAATAGCTAATCCATTTTCCTTATTGACTAAATTGAATCAGAAATGATTTGCCGTCTTGGATTTAAGGACTCTTGCTTACCATTGGCCAAAGAAAACCAGAATTTATTTGCTTTTGAATGGGAAAATCCTGACACAGTAAAGAAAACCCAATTAACTTGGACAGTATTATCTCAAGGGTTTTAAAACAGTCCTTTCAAAATCAGCACTGGAACTAGAATCATGAAAATCACCCATTCAGATGGGGACTCTGTTACAATATGTGGATGACCTATCAGTTGCTACTGAAACAAGGGAAGAATGTGTTCAGTGAATGGTGGGATTATTGAATTTTCTGGGACTGAATGGTTATTGGGTAACCAGACAAAGACCCAACTAATCCAAACCCGAGTTTCCTACCTAGGATATGAAATAACAGGAGGACAGAGAGAGCTTGGAACTGCTAGAAGAGAAGCCATTTGTCAACAACCATCAAGAATCTCCGTATGTTCCTGGGAGTGACTGGATGTTGCCGACTTTGGATGTATGATTATGGTGTTCCGGTAAGACCCCTAGATGAACTGTTAAACCCCTCTCTCTTTATTCATCAGAGGAGGGCTTTAGAAATTTAAAAGCAGAGCTAATGAGAGCTGCAGCTCTGACTTCTGGATATGACTAAATCCTTTTGGCTATATTCCTATGAAGAACAGGGAATAGCTTTGGTGGTCCTTAGTCAGAAACTAGGACCCTATAAGAGGGCAGTGGTGCATTTTTCAAAACAGCTGAATGAAGTGAGCAAAAAATGGCCTGGATGCCCAAGGGCTGTGACAGGAGTTGTCATGAATATTGAAGAGGCTCGCAAATTCACCTTGGGACAAAGTATTACTGTACTAGTGTCCCATGTGGTATCAGCAGTCCTGGAACAGAAAGAAGCCCACTGTCATGTTTTTTAAAATACCAGGCCACCCTTGTGCAACATCATGATACAGAAATTGTGGTCAGTGTTGTCAATCCAGAATCCTTTTGCAGAACAACCAACAGAACTATTCACACCCGACTGAACTGTGCCAACCAGATTTGAAAGAAACCTCTGGAACGTGCCCTGCAATTGGCTAAAGGCAAAGGGATAAATCTTTGTACTGATTCCAAATATGCATTTGGTGTGGTCCATGCACAGTGTGCCATCTGGAAAGAATGAGGACATTTGAACACACAGGAGAAACAGATTAAACATGCTACAGAAATTCTATGACTACTAAGAGCTGTTCAGCTACCTGAGGAGGTAGCTGTTATGTATTGAGGGCATCAACAAGGTGAATCTGATCAGGAAATTGGAAATAATTTGGCCAATTTTGAAGCCAAATGAGCAGCTGAACAATCTAAACTCATTCCCTTAATCCCTGATGGCAAACTAACAATTGAGAAATCTAAACCTAGGTATTCAAAGGAGGATAGAAAATTGATTGGAGCTTTCAAAGGAGAGGAAAACAAACAAGATTAGGTTCAGATACCTGATGGGCGAATTATAATCCCCTATAACCAACTCTGGAAGCTAGTTCAAGAAGAACATAATAAAACTCATTGAGGTAGCAACTCTTTGTATAAATACTTAGATGAACAAATTGAAGGAAGGAATCTGTATAACATAGTTCAATTAGTGACAATGTCAGCTCTGTCTCAAGAATAACCCTAAAATTGAAAGTAGAAATCAAATTGGTACAACTGGGGAGGAAGTTATCTGGGACAGCACTGACAATTTTATTTTCTGAATTATTGAGACCAATATTTGTTGGTGCTAACTAATACTTTTTCAGGGTGGCCAGAAGCATTCCCTTGTAGAATAAATAATGCAAGACAAGTAATTGGAACATTGTTAAACAGTGTAATACCTTGTTCTGGAGTACCAGAGGCAATTTCTTCTGACCGAGGCTCAACCTTTAGTACAAGAAATTAGCAAAAATTAGAAATTCATTGGCAACTACATGTTCCATACAGGCCAGTGGGCAAGTTGGAAAGATAATAAAACAACAGATTAGTATGTCAAGATACTGATACCAAGCCTTACCACTGGCTTTATTAAGAATTTGAACTAAACCTCGGTCGAAAGAAGAGGCTATCCCATGTAAAATTTTATATGGAAGACAATATCAGTCCCAGTTTAAAGGAGAAAGTCTTCTGGAAGTGGGAGAAGGTTATCTCCTAGAGTTTCTGATCAATCTGGGAAAAGCAATTAGAAGAAAGAAGAAAATACTGAGGACAAGAGCGAGAGGTGTGGATTATCAGACTCACCCTTTTAGATTCAGCGACTGGGTTTAAGAATTTTTCAGGAGATCCTCTACGGGAGAAGTGGAGCGGACCGTACCAGATAATATTGACCACCTTTACAGCAGTGAAGATAAAGGAACAAAGAAAGCACCAGAACCAGAGAAGACATGGCGGATCGAACCTTCAGGACCCTCGCATATGAAATCATATCAGTCATAATTTGGATTTATGTGATAACTGACATACCACCTTGGGACTAATACTTATACCTGAAATTAATGCAGAATGTTACTAAAGTTGTTAATTGCAGTGACTGTTGGGTGTGTGCACGGTTGCCTGAATCAGGGGAAGATCAGGGCCTTCCATTAATTGGCATTCCAATTTCCAACATTATCTCCTGGAAAGATGTACTACACCAGGTACCAGAATAGGAGACTGTGTTTGTTTAAATGCCACAGGTGTAGGTCACTATTCATATTGTAATCACACTATTAATATAGATGGTATTCTGGTTCAGTGGTGGCCTGTTCCTGAAGGGAAAGGATGGTATTGGTTAAGTGAGGGTTTAACCCTATTGCTGAACAGAGTACTGCATTTCATAGTTTTGTGAGATGGCTAATTCCATCTTTGGGAATAAGTGAATTAGAGAAGGCAATCATAAATATCTCAGCAACCATAGGAAATAGAAAGTAAAACCATTGATATAATCCCAGTGGAACAAGAATCAATGAAAATTGCTGTTCCTGAAACAGATCTGGAGGAAATCTGGAAACAAACTAAAATATTTAATAAAATGGCCAAGGATGATACCTCCTGGGGTTTGAAGAAGCTACCTTCATGGTTATCTGATCTCTCCTGGTTAAGGCAACTGGTTGCAGGAATATTAATGCCAACCGTATCCTGGGCTGCACCAAAAGGAGTGTGACCAGCAGGTCGAAGGAGGTGACCCTGCCCCTTTATTCTGCTCTCATGAGACCTCACTTGGACTATTGTATGCAGTTCTGGTGTCCTCAACATAAAAAGACATGGAACTGTTGGAACAAGTCCAGAGGAGGGCCATGAGGATGAATGGGGACTGGAGCACCTCCTGTATGAAGATGGCTGAGAAAGTTGGGGGTGTTCAGCCTGGAGAAGAGAAGGCTGTGTGGAGACCTCATAGCAGCCTTCCAGTATCTGAAGGGGGCATATAGGGATGCTGGGGATGGACTCTTCATTAGGGACTGTAGTGATAGGACAAGGGGTAATGGGTTAAAACTTAAACGGGAAGTTTAGATTGGATATAAGGAAGAAATTCTTTACTGTAAGGGTGGTGAGGCACTGGAATGGGTTGCCTGGGGAAGTTGTGAATGCTCCATCCCTGGCCAGGTTGGACAGAGCCTTGGGTGACATGGTTTAGAGAGAGGTGTCCCTGCCCATGGCAGGGGGGTTGGAACTAGATGATCTTAAGGTCCAACCGTAACTATGCTATGATTCTATGCTTTGAAAAAGTGTACAAGGAATTGTTTGTAAAGACAAGATACATGTGATTTTTAATGAGTGAAGATGACTCATTTTGGAGTCTCTTCTGTGTTTTATGAAGTAACATCTCTTGTAATAAGCTTGATAATCTTGCTGTTGAGGCAGAGTAAAAAATATTTTATTGTTTTATAGTTGCACTGTAAATTAAACATTAAAATTTGCAACTCTTGCAGGCAATACTGGGGCAGGATGTTTTTCATCGATCACTGGTGGCATGTTGCCTTGAGATCATTACCTTCACATACAACCCACCTGGAAACTTTCCGTTCATCCCTGAAGTATTTGACATTCCATTTTATAATTTTTATAAGGTAAAGTGTTTGATAGCTAAAATGCTCATCCAGTCATGAGTAAGTCATGTTAATGTACACACTAACCCTTCATGCTCAGCTTTGCCCTCTTTTGTATTGAAAAAAATATTACACAAGTGTCTGTTTTTCTGGGGTGTGTCTTGGACATTTAGCAATCAAACAGTGTTAGCAGTTTGAGGAGCAGTATCCATGTAGCAACTGCTGTATTATCATTGTATCATGAACTACTGTTGCAGCTGGATGTCTTTGTTTAGAAAGATACAAATATCTGTCTTCTGATGAAAGCGGAAGGCAGCACCCGATTGAGGCACAGTGATGCAGCCTTCATGTTTCTAATAGTCTCTTCCTTGAAAATCAGGAATTAGCTCTTTCTGTAAGAAACAATCTATGAAACAAGTACACTATGTTGATCATAATTATCCACCTTGCCGGTAATTGAAGTTTTCATCAGAGCAGAGGATGGCATTTGTCGGGAAGTAGTAAAACACCTTAATCATATTGAGGAGCAGATCTTGGAAAGCACGGCGTGGAAACAGGAATCCATACTGTGGGACAGAATCAGGGATAATGAAAACAAGGCTCCTGCTTGCAAAGAGGTGAGCACTTCTTTCTGTTTTACAGTTTTTCTCATCAGACAGGATAGTAGAGAGGAGATTTTATACTCTGAAGGAGAGGCTCTACATGTTTAAATCTTTGTTTCACCCTACAAGGTGATCAGTTTAGAGGACACAGGAACTGTAGTGTGCTGCAGGGACAGCGTCATGGTTTAAGCCCAGCCGGTAACTCAGAACCATGCAGCTGCTCGCTCACTCCCCACTTCTTCCTCCCCCCACTCCCAGAGGGATGGGGAGGAGAATCAAAAGAATGTAACCCCCATGGGTTGAGATAAGAACAGTCCGGTAACTAAGATATAACACAAAACCACTACTGCTACCACCAATAATAATAATGATAAGGGAAAGTAACAAGGAGAGAGAATACAGTTGCTCACCACCCACCAACTGGTACCCACCCCGACGTGAGCAGCAATCTGGGCCTTCTGGGTAACTCTCCCCAGTTTATATACTGGCCATGATGTGCTGTGGTATGGAATACCCTTTTGGCTAGTTTGGGTCAGGTGTCCTGTTTCTTCTTCCTCATGGCTTCTCCTCGTCCCTGGCAGAGCATGAGACTCAGAAAGTCCTTGATCAGAGTAAACATTGCTTAGAAACAACTCAAAACATCAGTGTGTTATTAGTGTTGTTCCCAGGCTGAAAGTCAAAAACACAGCATTGCACTAGCTAGTAAGAAGGAGAAAAAATGACTGCTACTGCCAAGCCCAGGACGGACAGACACAATGGAGATATGCAGGTGAGGTGATTATCACCCAGTATTTGCACAGCATAGTTGAACAGGGAACATAAAGGCTAAGCAGGGAAGATTTGGACAAGTCACTTCTGCTTGATAAGATTACTAGGCAAGGAAATGTGATTAAAAAAAGCAGACTTTTAACTGTAGTCACAGGAAGATTTAAACCAGGCATCACTAACGGTTGCTGGTCAATTGCTGAGGTGAGTAGCTCGAGAGAGGACGCCTTGAACACCGGAGCGGGGGAGATCAGCGTCCAGGAGCCTCAACTCAGAGCGACAAGAGCCACCGAGGGAGCCTCAAGTCCTCGACAGGACCTGCCCAGGAGCCGGCACCTCAGCTGATGTGAGCAGCTGACTCACAGGGGGCGGAGCTAGGGGGAACGGTGCTAGCCCTGATTGGTTAAAAACCTGCCCCAGGGAGTGCGAGTGACCAGGAGCGCGGTGAACAGGAGCTGGTCGAGGTAGTTTGCACGGGCAGGTGAGCACTCGCCGTATGACCAGGGCCTGGTATGGGAGCTCTCCTCTGGCTGCCCCGGCTGTGGCCACCGTAGGCACTCAGAGCTGATGAGAGGGGAGGCTGCAGTGCAGAGCTCGGGGTGTAGAGAGTGCCTGCACTGCTCTGGTGAGGGAAAGGTACACAATGGGCAGGGCTGCACTGGGTGCTCCCTGGTGGAGGCTCTCCTGCAGCAGGTGACTGAGCTGCGGGAAGCTATTAATAGGCTACAAGATGTCAGGGTAGCTGAGAGAAAACAGGAATGCTTGCTCCCTGCCCAAACTGTGCAGAGTCCTCAAGCTTCACCTGTAGCTCATGGAGGAAAGAAGGAGATTGTTAGCTCTCAAAGCTGGGAATTGGTGAAAAAAAAAAAAAAAACAACAAAAAAAGGAGGAAAAGGACAATTAAAAGCAAGGGGCTTCCTCCTGAACCTGTTGCCCCCACGCAGAACCGCTTTGCTGTCCTGCAGGGGGCTCATGAGGAAACGCAGTTGCGCCAGAAACAGCCTGTTGATGCACTAGTAAAGAAGATTTCTACTGGTGCTGCCAGGAAAAAGCGGCGGGTTGTAGTGGTAGGGGATTCTACTTTGAAAGGGACAGAGGCGCTCGTCTGTCGGCCTGACCCAGTCTCAAGGGAGGTGTGTTGCCTACCAGGGGCACGGATCAGGGATGTGGCAGAGAGGCTGCCTGCTCTGGTAAGCCCCTTGGACTATTAACCACTTCTGGTGATACATGTGGGTGCTAGGGATATAGATAGTAGTAGCCTGGGGAACATAAAGAAGGACTACAGAGCCCTGGGAGAGGTGGTTAAGGGCTCTGGAGCTCAGACTGTCTTCTCATCTATTCTCCAGGATACAGGGGAGGAATTGAAAAAAAAAAGGAGGATTAGCCAGGTTAATAAATGGTTAAAAGGGTGGTGTCACAGTCAGGGGTTTGGGTGTCTTGAACATGGGACCCAAGTTTGTAGGCCAGGTCTAGCGGGGGCTGGTGGAGCTGGTCCGATAAAGAAGGGGAAGGGCAGTTTTGGTAGGAGGCTTGCCAGACTGGTTGGAAATGTGGCACTGCAGGGCAGCCTCGGATGCAGCGACCACGAGATGGTTGAATTTGAGATCCTCAGGACAGTGAGAAGAGCGTGCAGCAAGATCACTGCCCTAGACTTCAAAAAAGCAAACTTTGGCCTTTTCAGGAACTTGCTTAGTAAGGTTCCATGGTATATAGCCCTAGAGGGCAGGGGGGCTCAAGACTCTTGGTTGGTCTTCAAGGATCACCTGCTACAAGCTCAGGAGTGTTGCATCCCAACTAGAAGGAAGTGCAGCAGGAGGGCCAGGAGACCTCCTTGGATTGATAAGGAGCTCCTGAGGAAAATTCAAATGAAAAAAGAGTATTATAGAAAGTGGAAGCAAGGACAGGCAGCCTGGGAAGAGTACAGGGTTATTGTCCGGGAAGATAGAGACCAGGTTAGGAAAGCTAAGGCCCAGTTAGAATTAAACTTGGCTAGGGATATTAAGGATAACAGGAAGGGATTCTACAGGTACATAGCAAATAAAAAACAGATTAGGGAGAATGTAGGCCCCCTCAGGAAGCTCTCGGGTGAACTAGCTACACAGGATTTGGAGAAGGCTGAGGTTCTGAATGACTTCTTTGCCTTGGTCTTCTCTAGCAAAGGCTCTGACCGTACCACCCAAGTCTTGGAAGGCAGATGCAGGGACTATGAGAATGAAGACCTTGGGCCCACTGTAGGAGAGGAATTGGTTCGAGACCATCTTAAAAATCTGGATGTACACAAGTCCATGGGTCCTGATGAAATCCATCCTTGAATCCTGAAGGAGCTGGCGAATGCAGTTGCTATGCCACTGGCCATCATATTTGAAAAACACATGGCAGTCAGGTGAAGTTCCTGGTGACTGGAAAAAGGGAAATATAACCCCCATTTTCAAGAAGGGAAAAATGGATGACCTGGGGAATTACAGACCAGTCAGTCTCACCTCTGTGCCTGGCAAAATCTTGGAGCAGATTCTCCTGGAAGGCATGCTAAGGCACATGAAAAACAACAAGGTGCTTGGTGACAGCCAGCATGGCTTCACTAAGGGGAAATCCTGCCTGACCAATTTGGTGGCCTTCTATGATGGGGCTACAGAACTGATGGACAGCAGTAAAGCAGTTGATGTCATCTACCTGGACTTGTGTAAAGCGTTCGACACTGTCCCACACGACATTCTTGTCTCTAAATTGGAGAGACATCAATTTGATGAATGGACCACTCGGTGGATAAAGAACTGGCTGGATGGCCGCACACAAAGAGTTGTGGTCAATGGCTCAATGTCCAGCTGGAGACCAGTAACGAGTGGTGTCCCTCAGGGATCGGTGTTGGGACCGGTCTTGTTTAACATCTTCGTCGCTGACATGGACAGTGGGATTGAGTGCACCCTCAGCAAGTTTGCCAATGACACCAAGCTGTGTGGTTTGGTTGATATGCTGGAGGGAAGGAATGCCATCCAGAGGGACCTTGACACGCTTGTGAGGTGGGCTGATGCCAACCTCATGAAGTTTAACCATGCCAAGTGCAAGGTGCTACACCTGGGTCGGAGCAATCCCAGGCACAGCTACAGGCTGGGCAGAGAAGAGATTCAGAGCAGCCCTGCGGAGAAGGACTTGGGGGTGCTGGTCGATGAGAAAATGAACATGAGCCAGCAGTGTGCGCTTGCAGCCCAGAAAGCCAACCGTATCCTGGGCTGCATCAAAAGGAGTGTGAGCAGCAGGTCGAAGGAGGTGATCCTGCCCCTTTATTCTGCTCTCGTGAGACCTCACTTGGAGTATTGTGTGCAGTTCTGGTGTCCTCAACATAAAAAGGACATGGATCTGTTGGAACAAGTCCAGAGGAGGGCCACGAGAATGATCAGGGGACTGGAGCACCTCCCATATGAAGATAGGCTGAGAAAGTTGGGGCTGTTCAGCCTGAAGAAGAGAAGGCTGCGTGGAGACCTCATAGCAGCCTTCCAGTATCTGAAGGGGGCATATAGGGATGCTGGGGATGGACTCTTCATTAGGGACTGTAGTGATAGGACAAGGGGTAATGGGTTAAAACTTAAACAGGGGAAGTTTAGATTGGATATAAGGAGGAAATTCTTTCCTGTTAGGGTAGTGAGGCACTGGAATAGGTTGTTCAGGGAGGTTGTGAATGCTCCATCCCTGGCAGTGTTCAAGGCCAGGTTGGACGAGGCTTTGGGTGATATGGTTTAGAGCGAGGTGTCCCTGCCTGTGGCACGGGGGTTGGAACTTGATGATCTTAAGGTCCTTTCCAACCCTAACTATTCTATGACTTTATGATTCTATAAGTTTGTTACAGTACCCTGTCTACCCAAGTAGGACAACGGTTATGAAGTTTTGGTTAGGTTGATGTTAAGTTTTTCAGTGTTCTTTTGGTATTTTCTATAGTCGTGCTGTTAAAAATTCTGTAGTGTAGAAGCTTTTAAAAATGTGTTATTTAGTCACTCTGATACAGACACTCTAATACCAGTGTGAATATTGTAGGTAATGCCACCTCAGCATTTTGAGAGATCTGCTGGGAACAGTGTTGTGGGTTTTCCATTGACATCAAGAGGAATACATGTGTTCTGCACTGAAACTGGAGAACTAGGGAAAGGTGAGACTTCTAAAAGTATAATGTACTTACACTTCTTAGACCATGGCTTTAATTTTTCATCTAAGTGGTATACAGTAAGGAAGCTGCTTTAATGTCAAGGTCCAGTTAACTGCAAACACATCTTTATATGGTATTTCTATTGCAACTCACATAGTTAAGTCAGATGTGTGATGCATTCATTAATTTCAGCATGCATAAAATGCTGTTTTCAGGAAGCTATGTATATGAACAGCATGTATGTCTGCATACATATGTATATGTTAATACTTAAGCACACACTACTTAAGTTCTCATTGGTAGCACTTGAACAGTTTGTTTTACTGTTACACCAAAATCAAAGCCCCTTTTATATATTTAGTTATATGAAGTCTTAAACTTGTTCTTCGAAAAATAAAACATAATACATTAGCTTAGAAAAACATGAAACAGTATTATTTGAGATGAAGTAATCTCTAAAAGCAATCTGTAAAGGACAAACGTAGACATGAAGAGCTGGGCATGACATGTTTTGGTACCCCTTAGATTTCTCTCATGTATTTTTATAATATGGGATTATACAACAAGAGTTAAATATATATGTGCGTGTGTTGTTTCTCAGTGCACAGGCCTTTCATCCCCTTCAGCCACCCTGTATGACAGATACAGCTCTCCTGCAGCCAATCCTACAAGGAGAAGGCTGTTTGCTGATAACAATAACTCTGACAGCAGCACTCCAGTAAGAGTTTCCCAACAGCCTGTAGTGAATACGGTGCCTGTGCAGAACATGAATCCCCAAGTGATGTCAGTAACCCCAGTGCCTGGCCAGACACTGGTTACAGTGGCAACTGCCACCGTAACTACCAAAAATGGGCAAACTGTGACAATACCAGTACAAGGTGAGAGAAAGCTACTGTAGCACTATTGGAGCTTGCTCCCATCAGAGTATTAGGACACAGTAAGGAGGAAGGGGGAACAGTACACCAGTGGAGAAAAAAAAGCATTCCTAACTGGGGAAGAATTGTTTGAATAGATGAGCAGAAGTTAGAGATAGAACATGTATACAAGGATGTTCTGACTGCCAACATCTGCCTTATAGAACTGAGTTATTTCAGTCAGCCTGCCTTCCTGAACTGGCACTGGATGGAAGTTACATTAGTATGAAAAACTTGGTTCAATTTCATTATCTTCTAGTCTCCTTATGATGAAAAGCCAAAAGAATTTTGATGAAACAGTTTCATATATAATGTACTAAATATATAGTTATAAGCAACTAATAAAATTAGTAATTATTATTACTACCAAGAGAAGAATATTCCATTTCAAAGTGAATCTATACTTTCTGTCTGTTCATTCACATACCTGGAGAGTAGTTTTCTTATTCAGGCAACTTCTCATTAGCAAAGGAGTAGGCTCTCAGACCACGAGTTGTGAAGTATATTATGTACTTGGCTAGCAGGTACTTGAAGGTGTCTGTTTTCTTTAAGGCTTTGTAAAAGAAAGAAATTCACCTTTGAGACAGTTTGGCTTATCCAGTACGCAGCAGTTGCTCCAAGCTGTGCAGTGTCCTTCCTGTGCTCAGGACAACTCAAATTTAAGCCTAATTTAAACAAATGTTTTCTTAGAATCAATACCAGAACTGAGAATATATGTTTCTTTGAAGAAAGAAAAAAAATTTTTTTTGGCTTATCATTTGCACAGGTTTTACGGGTGTGCAGGTCTGAGCTGCTCTTGATCTGTGTGAGAAAAGCTGTATTGCTGGGCCCTAAGCACGTCTCCCTTTCCACAGGTGTACTATTTAGCTAGTGTTCGCCTGAGAGATCTCTGTGTCAAACTTGATGTATCTGATGAACTGCGAAAAAAGATCTGGACATGTTTTGAGTATTCCTTGGTGCACTGTCCTGAAATCATGATGGATAGACATCTGGATCAGCTGCTGATGTGTGCCATCTACATAATGGCTAAGGTAAGGTGTGAATAAAACAAAAACAAACCAACAAAACACCTCCCTAAGACTTAATGTTCCAAAGATTACAATTCCTCAAAAATCCCAAACCAACCAAACACTACAGACAACCACCCCAAACAAATAAAAAAGAACACAGAAAAACTGTTATCCTTTTCTGTCCATCTCCTCTTAGGTGACCAAGGAGGACAGATCATTTCAGAACATTATGCGCTGCTATCGGACACAACCACAAGCCAAGAGTCATGTAAGTACAGATCGTATTCAACAATGTGGTATCTGCTTTATTAAATGCCTTGGGTCTATCTTAGGAATGGATCTCTTTCTGAAGGAGCAGTTAGTATTCAATAACTGCAGTCTGTGAGACATTCTCCTCACCAGACAGCAGCTGATCCAAAATCCTGCACTACTGAAAGCTTTTCATGCTAGACTAAACCTAAAATAAAAAATTCGCAGCAGCAGTGACTGTTGGATACACTCCTCTTGGGAGGCTCTATTTTCCCCCATAAGCAGCAGTTTGATATCACAATGAAGTTTCTGAAAAGCCAATGTATCATGCAGATTATTGTTTCCTGAGTACATAACTGCCTACCTGACCATCCTCCCTTCGCTGTGCTCCTCTTTCTCCCAGCAGGTATATCGGAGTGTCCTGATAAAAGTCAGGAGATGCCGACAATGCTCTGGCAGCAGTGACAGCAGCGGCCAGCAGAACTCGCCTACAGAGAGAAGTAAAGAGAGGAACAAGGAAAGAAGTGAGTGATTCCCAATTCCAGGAGTTTGGGTTTAATTCTATTTCCAAAACAGTGTGTGTAAAGTAAGAGTTGGATTTTGTGTCACCCCACCCCAAACAGTTCCTTCTTTGCTGAACCTAGACACAATTGAGAATGTATTGATACCATGTAAGAGTTGCTATAACTCAGAAGTTACTCTTACACCCACTTTGACAGTTTGGAATCCATCACCACATGCGCTTCCCTTCTGAGTTTACCATGGTAGCTGGCCTCAGCTCTTGGAGCTCAGTCTGTACACCAAAGAACACGTCTTTGTAGAAAGGAAGGAAACCCATGGTATCCCATGCTCAAAGGTACTCCTTTACTTACCACAGTTGTGGAGCTGTAGCAGTTTCTTTTGCAGCATCTGTCTTCAGAGAGAGGGACAAACGAGGCACCTGCAACATCTGCTTCAGCCAATCCAACAGCTCTGCAGAGGCTTTCCTTAGCACATTTTCCTTGAGTTAACCTTTATAAAGGAAAGCAAATAAGTGATGCTGTATATTCCTACCACAAGTTTTCAAGATACTATGAGCTGAAAAAGCCTACTGTTCCCAATTTGAAATGGTGCCAGTTGGCAACAAGAGCTACCGTTAAAAGTGTAGCATGAATACCTGAAAAGCAGAGGTTTATCTCTGCTTACCGTGTGATGAAACTGAGCTTATACAGAAGAACCACTTGCGGTTTGTCTGGTAAGATGATAGAAATCAAGCATGTTTCTGTACATGTCCTCAGCAGCACATTGGTCTGTAACAAGGCTGATAATGCTTCTCTGTAAGATGAGGTGCTAAGGGTACAACATCAGCCTTGCTTGTGCTGACACCAGGTTCAGGCTCACTGTGCTGCAATTTAAGGGTGGGGAAGGCAGTGGCTTTATGGGGCTGAACAACAGGTGGAGGTGACTGGAGCAGGTGAAGCAGCTGTGGCTCAGCTCAGGAGCTGTTCCTCATTGCAGGGAGCAGAGACTCCAGCCCTGTGATGTGATCCATCAGCACCCTGCCTGTTCTGCACCCCAGCAGTGCCCCCCCCTCAACCCAACTAACCAGGGCCAACAGCAACACCAAGGAGGAGGAGCGAGGGGACCTCATACAGTTCTATAACAACATCTATACTGAGCAGATCAAAGAATTTGCCCTGAAATACACATCAAATACAGTAAGTAAATTCTGTGCTTTTAATTTGTTAAGAGATCTTTTTTTACCGTACCTACAACAGTGAAGTGCTCTTAGCTAACCCCACTGCAAACAAACTCCAGGGTTTATATTTTTATGACAAGTTCACCTCAAGGACACGCTCTGCTGCTAACACCAAGAACTGTCCATACCTACTTGCTGTTTTCTCCTGTATACAATACACAGCACTGAGCAATGTCAGCTGCCAGCCTCAGATAGCATTAGGAAAGTAAATTAAAAATAAAAACCAAAAGCACCACTGATCTGGCCAAATAACATGACACAACTTGCATCTGTTCTAAATATGTGTGGTGTGACAGCAGTGAGAAAAACTGAACCAAGTTTAAGGTGACCAGCTCACAGAAGCTGTGCTGTAGGATCAGACACCAACTGCGGTTTGATTTTTCTCTCTCCCTTTCTCTGTATACTGATTCCCCTCTGCTCTCACCCTACCCAGTCATGCGGGTGGACTCCCCTCACCATGTGCAGCTGTCCCACAACCACCCTTTGTACATCTCACCACACAAAAATGAGTCTGTGCTCTCTCCTCGAGAGAAAATGTTCTACTACTTCGGTAGCAGCACATCTAAGGTGAGATTGAAGGGTCTTAGTTTGCTTTTATAAATCCTTAATTCTACCTTTTCTTTTTGGTAGTGCCACACACTTCTGTTTACATAGTCTAACCTGTGCTTTCTCACCTGATGCTTTTCCAAATGCCAGTTCAGGTATCTAAGAAGTTGTAAAGCAATCAGGTGCCTAAGAGTACTGTGTACTTTGAAAAGTTACTCTTTGTACCAAAACAGGTGAAAGACTCGAGGCTGGCAATGGCACCCTTTGCTTTCAGGTGACAGGGGGTTCCTTGGTGTCCAAAGAGAACACCAAGCACAGTCCCACCCTCTTTACCTAGTGTGGAAAAAAATCCTCCAGCAAGCTGTGACCATGAGAGGACTCACCAGGGGAGCATGTAATAGCCTGAATCCCACCATCCCTGGGCACCAAGAATGAAGAAGAAATCTTCCTTAGGAATCATTTTCAGTCTTAATAGGAAGTGTTGTACCTATCGTGTAAGATAAGAGTCGCAACTAGGGTTGGATGGCCTTTGAGCTTTACATGTGTTGAAAAAACAAACCTACTTGAATGTGAGTACAGCATACTCTGGTAATTAAGAGACCAGCATGGTGATTGAGAACTATGGTCTGTCACAGGAAGCACTTCGTGCAGTGCAGATGTCTGGAAACAAAAGTGTATGTAAGCCCACTATAACGCAAATAACAAAGATTCCCCTTATGTTTAGGGAGACAAAATAATGAGAAATTGATTCTGCTTCCCCCATCCAGAGGCTACAGGAAATAAACAGCATGGTTAGAACTGGAGAACCTGCAACAAAGAAGAGAGGCATTCTCTTGGAAGATAGTACTGAAGCACCAGCCAAGCGTATCTTCCAGGAGAATTACACTGCTCTGCTAAAGCGACTACAATATATAGCAAATGACAGAGGCTCTCACTGAGAGTGTTCCAGCTATTCCAGGTATTCCGACCTACCTTCCTTCCTTCCTTCCTTCCTTCGTTCCCTCCCTCCCCCCTCCTTCCTCCCTTCCTCCCATCCTCCCTTTTCCTCCCTCTGCATTCTATTACCATCCTTCCTCCATTGCTTGCTTTCTTCCTTCTTTCCTTCCTTATCTAACTGCCAGCCTGCGCTATAGGAACTTCCTCCCTTCCTCCCTTCCTCCCTTCCTCCCTTCCTCCCTTCCTCCCTTTGT